TGACTTGGGAGGCTAAGGCAGGGGGATTGTTGAGGGCCACAGCCCTCAACAGGGATGATGCATGGCATTTTTTCCAGAAGGGAGTGGTTGAGAAGTGAGTGGTTGAGAAGTGACCAGCGAGCCATTGAGATGATAATGGTTAAGTTAAGCTGCGTATTCAGTTGTATATAGACCCCTGCTGTTTGCCTGGGGCGCCTGCTACTTTGGAGTTCTCCTGGGGATTCCTAGGATTTCTGGGGAGTTTGCGTTGGTTGGTTGGTTGGTTGGTGAAGTTCCGGAGGAGGGATTTCCGGTTGGGGATGTTCCTAAAAGGGCCGCGAGGGTGGCGGTCCGGGAGTTCGGGGAATAAAGGAGTTCCTGTTTGAACCTACAAGTGCTTGGTGGCTGGGTTATTTTGTGCCCAGCCAGACTGCGGCATTTGGTGGTACAGGGAACGCCTGAGGGTAAGTGATAAGGTAAACTGCTCGCTCCTGAGGGCAGTGTGCAAGAGGATGGGTAACCATTTAAAGATTCTTCTTTCGTTTTGTTTCACTTTTGTTTTAAGTTGCCAGACCCTGGAGATGGGTGGGACGGAAGAAAAACTATTTGCGTCTGAGGAACAGACAGGGAGAAAGGAAGGATGGACATTTCAGGAGGATAGAAAGGCTGATATATGAATTTTTGTTCCATTTTTGTTTCATTTTGTCTCGGTTTTGTTTTGCATTTATCTTAGTGAGGGGTATCTTCATCATGGAAATATGGAATTAAAAATTAATAAGAACCAAACCAAAAGGGCGTTAAGTACAGTGCTAGAGGAAGGAGGCATCTCAGTAAAATCAAGAACAGTGCCCATGGTTCATTAAAGAGGGGTTGTTAAATATATCACAATGGAACCATCATGGTGAAGATTTAAAAAGATACAAAAGGAAAGCCCAGGAACTCTGCCAGTTGGCACATTACCATTATGGACGTTGGTACAATCTTGTTTGCTTAGTCTAGGAGAAGACATTTTAAATCAAGTAAAAGAGGAAGTCTCTCGAGTTAGACAGGAGAAAAAAGTTTAGAGAAGGAGGGGCTATCCGGAGAGAAGTTACAACCGGAGGTTGCTACTAACACCTTTCTATCACCAGAGGGCATAAGTGTCCAACCAACAGCTCCACCTATGGAGACAACATATGCTGTGGCCCTCACGTGGCGGCTCGGTTATTTTGTGCCCAGCCAGACTGTCGCAGGGGATCATGGGTTCAAGGCCAGCCTCAACAACTTAGCAAGACCCTTCGTCAAAATAAAAAATAAAAAGGGCTGGGTGTGTAGCTCAGTGGTAGAGTGCTCTGGGTTCAATTTGTAGTACCTCAACAAAAAAACAAAGAGAGAGAGAGAGAATATTACTTTTTTACCCTGAAAACACAGATTTTTATATACGAGGTCTACTTAAAGAAAGACCCTTGGGCTGGACACAGTGGCACACATCTGTAATTCCAGCAACTCAAGAGGCTGAGGCAGGAGGATCGCAAATTCAAAGCCAGCCTCAGCCGATTAGTGAGGCACTTTCCAGGTAAGGGCTGGGGCACCTAAATCATGACACAGGCACTCAGATGACACAGGAAAGCAAGTAAATGGTGAAGCTGGGCATCTGGAGAGAAGAGGTAAGAGGTGAGGGTGAGAGGGAGGGGGTCAGTCGGCCCTCACTCACACTTGGCCTTTCTATAGACTTAGGGACCCCGACACCCCACAGTAGAGGCGCAGCCCTGGGGAAAGGGGAAGTTTGCCTTTCAGAGTCGAGTAAGAGCTGGAGGGAAAACAGGGAGGCGCCCCCCCACCACGTCCCTGGGGGTGGCCCTGTGCACAGAGCCAGGAGGAGCACCCCCCAAACAAAAGCAGAAGCCACCGCGCTGCCAAGAGCTCTACCTGGCAGGGACCCAGGCTCCTGAATCGGCCTGCTCCTCCTAAGGGGACCAGTCTCCACGGAGCTTCAGATCCCAGGTCCTGCCATGGCTCCGCAGGGACACACGCTCAGCCAGGCTCTGCTTCCTCGCTGCAGCAACCTTTGTGTCTTTGGATTGGGACCTGCCAGCACTGGGGGAGGGCAGTGTTCCGGTGACTGTCCCTTCCTCCTTCAGGCAGAGCTCCTCAACAGGCCTCTTCAGGCTCAGCAAATCTGCCAGGGGGTGCTCCGCGGCCACCCTGGGGAGAGGCCATTGGGGCTCTTTATTTAGGGGAAGTGGCCAACATGGGGCTCAGCCTGCAGGTCCCCCCCACACACGTGGGCAGCATGGGGGTGTCGCCTGCATCCTCCCAGGGCCCCCTACGCCGTCCTCCTGGGACTCACACACCCATCCCATTTCTCTCCCAAGTACTGCTGCCCATCAGTCTGGTCCAGCCACCTGCCTCCTGGAAAGCGTCTCCCTCTCTTCCCAGCACTGGATAGCCCCTAGGTCTCTGCTGAGCCCACTCTGAGCAGTCCAGGCCTTTCTAGTAGTGGACCCTTCCCAGGCCTTTGCCGAAAGGGAGGGGCAGGCAGACAGCACAGAGAGGGAGGCTTGGGGCCCAGCTCCCCACCCTGCCCGCGTGTGACTGAGGTGGGAAAGTCATCTCACCCCAATCCCTGCAGGGCCCCATTTTATCACCTTTAAAATTCAGACATAAAGCCAGGTGCCAAGGTGCCCACCTATAATCCCTGCTACTCAGGAAATAGGGGCAAGAGGATAAGGAGTTTTGAGGACAACCTGGAAAATTTAGCAAGACCCTGTCTCAAAATTTAAGAAGGGCTGGGGCTGGACACACACCTGTCATCACAACAACTTGGGGAGGCTGAAGGAGGAGGATTAGCCTGGGCAACTTAACAAGACCCTCATTACTTAGGAAGACCCTTTCTCAAAATAGAAAGTCAAAAGGGGCTGGGAATGGAGCTCAGTGGCAGAGCCCTTGCCTAGTGTGCACTGAGGTCCTGGGCTCAATCTCCAGTAATAAAAAATAAATAATAAAAAAAAATCCCAGAGGTGTATTTATAACAAGGAGTCTTCCCTCAAAGCAAGCAGAGAGGCTGCACACTCCAGCCAGGACAAGCAGGGACATCGGCCCCCAGCCTGATCCCGATTCTGTACACCCAGCTTACAGAACAAGATGGCAGCTGCACCTCTTGAACTTAAGAGGCAAGAGTCTCTCCAAGGCTTGAACCCTCAGCCTTCCACAGAAGGGGACATCAAGAGAGCTGTGCAAAGACCAACCTCTGTGGCCTGTGGGCCCCGCCTCCTCCTTTGGGACACCAGGAAGCCGTGAGCAGCTTGGTCCCACCCTACACCCTGGTAAGACCAAATTGTATAGCATCCAAATGAACCAACCCGTGCTCTTCTGACAGGTCTAACACAGCCCAGTTTTAACCTAGAAAGAAAGCTGTATCTTACACAGAGACCCCAACAAAGTAGCTGGGAACTGTGTGTCTGAGAACTGAGTGGCCCACCACATCACAAAGGGACAAATGAGCAAACTTGCATTTAAAGGCCAGTGTGCTGTGTAGACACAGTGGGTAATTAAGAACATGCTTCAAAAGCTCCTGCTTTACAGGTTCAGATGCTGAGATTTACCTAGGTAAAGGCGTGAGTGGGGGGAGCCTGGAATAGAAATAAAAGTTGGGGGGCTCCCAACTTCCACAACACATGAAGATCCAAGTTGTCTTACTGGAGAAGCATCTTAAATTCTGGCCCTCTGCTCCAGAGGGCATTGGGAGAGGGGGTGGGAGGAGCACCCCAAGCCTGAGAGACTGCACTGGGCTTCCTAACATGATCCCCGCTGGCGCTCCAGAGGGCCCCCCCTCTTCCCTGGCAGCCCTCCTGATCCTCCACACACCTCTTCCTGCCTGCTCCCACTTCTAGAAGGATCCCAAGGCCCAGAAATTTCTGTAGAATTTCCACTGGCTCCCCTTGAACGCTGCAAAGGAGACACACACACACTCCACATCCCCCAAACGGTACCAGGTTTATCAAATTGAGCAGATCAACAGGGAAAGTGAGGAGAGCAGCTGTCCACACAATGAGCCACATGTCATCCTGTTTTCTAGGAGCCACAATTAAGGAGGGTAAAGAGAAGTGCGTTGCTGAGAGCCACAGCAGTGCGTAGCTGAGCTTGGTGGCTCACACCTGTGACCCAGCTACTCCAGAGGCTGAGGCAGGAGGATGGCAAGTTCTAGGCCAGACAGGGCAACTTAGCAAGACCCTGTCTTAAAACAATGAAAAAGGGCTGGGGATGTATCTCGGTGTAGGGTGCCTTCCTAGCACCTGTAAGGCCCTGGGTTCAATCCCCATCACCCCCCACACACACAGGAGGAGGGGGAGGAGGAGGAGAAGCAGCAGCACATGACATTAATTCCAAAAGTGTTTTATTTAACCCAATGTAGCAAAGTATTATCATTTCTACATGCAATCAATTTTTTAAAATAACCACTACCACTTTTTATACTGCTTTTTATTATCCTAAGTCTTTGTGGCTTGTGGCTGCTGAACTAGAAGAAGGAGGTAACAGGAGAGAAGGCGAGGTAGGAGAGAGGGACTGGGCCAGGGGAAAGTGTTCACCACGTGAGAGCCGTGTCTGTCCACCGGCTGCAATGCAAGGCCCTTCGTTGTCACCAGGGAAGGGTCTCAATGTCCACCTGCAAGCCCTAGAGAGTGCTAGGGTCATCAACCTCTCGAGCCTGCGAGGGTGGAGAGGGGGCCTGCCCCAAAGTGCGGCCTGCCCAGAGTGCCAAGACAACTGTCCAGGGCCCAAAGTGGGGTCAGATGTCCCAGAAGGATCCTTAGTGGAGAGCTTCCAACTCCTGCCTCCCGCCCTCAGCCTCTCTGGCAGGAGGAGAGCTTCACAGGCTGTGGGCTGGAGGCTGGCTGGCAGGGCGCGGGCAACACCAGCACCTGGGTGGGCCTCAAGCCAGGAGGCAGGACGGCCTGGCAGGACCCGTGTGCCTCTGCGCTGCCTGGGAAGACCTAGAGCTAGCGGGTGAGCCCAGGCCCTTGGTTGTCCAGACCTCTTACCTTCCTTCAGCATCCCCACTTTGAGGCATTTCATGAAGCGGCAGGCCTGGCAGGACTTGCGCCTCCGTTTCGTGATCTCGCACTCATTGGTGGCTGGGCAGCTGTACTCGATGTTCCCTGCAACCAGACACAGAGAGGGTTGCCAGGTGTCTGCTGTGAGTTTTACAAACTGAGGGCAGCGTGACTACACAGGGCATAGTAAGGTCCGAACCTGCTGGCAGAAGGCTGGGCATTAACTGGTAGAGCTACAGCTCGCCCCCCTCCCCAGGGTCCCACAGAGCGGGGCTCCTCACAGTAGGTGCTCTGAGCTGCATTCAGAACGCTTCCAACTCAGAAAGTCACTCTCCAGATTGTGGGTCCAGGACATCCAAACTCACTGGGCTGGCATTTGATCCCAGGAAGAGGAAGACCCCTGTGCTGACCAAGGCATCAGTTCTGTCCACCATCGGCAGCTCCTCCCACCTCCAGCCAGGGCCCCTGACTGGGAAAAGTCTGCTGGACACACCGAGCACACAGGTGTCCGTCCTGGATTCTGCCTCCCACTGGGCAGATCCAGGTCACCCAGCCTTGCTGGCCTTAAGGAAATCTCCTTCCTCTCACAGGAGTCCCCATGCTGTGCCGGTTCCTAACAGGGATCAAGCCAGACTTTTCATGAACAGTTGCTATAAGAAATCATGAAGCACTAGTCAGCGTGAGGTGATCACTTAACAAGCACCTTCCTCGTAGCAGAGGGACTTTTGATTAATTTCCGGGTTGCTCCTTCAATGAAGCCTACCCCATGGCTACCATGACCCTGACCCCATGTTCCCGGGAAGCTGAGCCCTAGGAAGGGGAGGGCTCACTGCCAATTCATAGCAGTACTTGGAAGTGCCCTGCCACCCAGAAGGCGGGCAACAAGTGCTGGAGGAATGACCTGCCAGACCCTGACTCACAGCAATTTCATAAAGAAGGCACTAATTAATACTCCCCGCATTTTACATATCAGCAGCCTGAGTTTTACAAACTGAGGGCAGCGTGACTACACAGGGCATAGTAAGGTCCAAACCTTCTAATGCCCCTGTTTCTTCTCAGCCTCTTCTAGGGAGAGGGCGTAGAGCCTAGTCAAGAGAGGCCACGGCTGCCTTCCTAACACAGGGCACGGCGTCCACCCTGCAGACCTTACTGACAACACATATTTGACAAATGTGCGCCCTGTTCCTGGAACACGCCTGGTGTGGGAGGGAAAGGCCATGGGGGTACCAAGTCTTTCCTTCCAGCCCCTCCAGACACCACTACCGGAAAGAGCAGGGGGAATTTGGAGGCCTGCCTGTCCTCTGAGGCCATCTGCTTAGGAGCCTAGGGAAATTGGAAGGGCCACCAGCCGCAAGGATAGGCCTCTGTTGCTAACCCAGGTGGTCTAGTGGCCAGGAGGCAAGGAGGACGTCCTCAGCCTCTCCATGTGGGACACAGAAACCACTTGCTGCCAGGTGTGGTGGCACAGGTCTGTAATCCCAGTGACTTAACAGAAGGATCACAAGTTCAAGGTCAGCCTGGATAACTTATCTCAAATTAAAAACAAATAGAAAGGACCAGGGATGTGGCCAGTGGCAGGGGAGAAACCACTTGCTACTGGATTTTCTGGAGCAAGCACGAGTCACATGCCCCAACTGACAAAGTGCTTCTCAGAGGTCACACTGGTGGCCCCGGTTACAGCAGGCCCTCTGATTGCATGGCGCGGCCACCACAGCTCAGGGACTATCCTCACCCATTTCTACTGAGAGGGAGGCTGACTTCCCAGAAGCACCTTAGAGATCCCCAGGGAGAGCTATTCTCTCTCTCTTCCTCAAGTCCAGCAGGGACCGCTTCCTCCCTGTCCCTCTCCCTCTCCTGCAGGAAGGGGGCTAGAGGTCATCTTCTCTGCTGGAGGGTGGGGGATAAGAAGGGGAAGGGGTAAAGAGTCTGGGCCCCTCGCCCTCTTTTATCCCACCCTAACCTTGCTCGTGTGGCTTCTTGGGAAGTGATTTCAACATACACTGATGCATGGTGACCCTAAGAGAAGCAGAAAGGAGGAAATGCACACCAAGTCTCCATCTTGCCTTAGAAGTCCCATCTCTCTTCATCTCCGGCCTCCATTGGAGGCTTCCTCCAGTGGAGTCTCTCCACTCGCCCTGCTCTGCATACTTATCAGTCACTCTACATAATTATCAGTTCCTGGAACTCTGATCTCAGAGGCTTCCAGGCTTTTGCTCCTGCAGCTGAGAACTAGTTCATAGATAACCTGCCCCTGGGCCTGACATCTCTCCAGGTTCCCCCCAGGGAGGTGCTGCCTCTCTCACCAGCTGCCCACTGATGTCCCCACTGCCTGTGTTCTGTCTCCTCCACTCAAACCAGCTCCCCTTTGCAGTCCAAGTACTGCCCCCTGCCAGTAGTTGTTCGATACCTGCTAAGCACAGATAACCTGCTGCAGTGCGACTCCAGATGTATTGAGTCCTTCTCACCCTGACAACCCCCGAGGGTAAACCTATTTTTCTCCACCTCCCAGATGAGGAGGGTGAGGGAGAGCAGGCTGAGGGAATGCTGGACTGGGAACCCAAGTGGACAGAGGCATGACCTCCCAGAAATGGTGACTCCATTGCCTTGGGACGCACCTGTACATGGTCATTCTCCCCATGCCCTGCGCCCAAGCTGCACAGAGGCCTGCCATCCCTCGAGGAAGTGGGACCACAGGTTGGTGCTCAGATCAGGGGTCAAGAACGTGTGTAGCCCTCCCACAGCACAAGGACTGAGCACGAACGTCCAGCCTCCAGTGGTGTCCCGACCCTTTAGGGACATATGTGTAGGAGTCAGTTCTAATTTTACTTATTTATTTTTGTTCCTTTCAATTTGTTTTATGGCCCCAGCGGCTGGCTGCCAGCAAAACCAGGCCGGTGGCCTTGCCTTGTAATTTCTCTAAGTGCCTTCTTGATAAAGCAATGAGATTAATTCACCAGAATTCCTGTGGAGAGAGTAGGAGAGCTCAGGAACAGGAAGGGAACACACACACACAAAAAAAACACACACACACCCCTGAGGTATGACAAGTTTGGAGGTGGGTCTCACAGGGCAGAGACATAGCCAAGGCCAGCACAACTTCAAGGTTCTAACCTGAGAGTGTGTCCAGAACAGACACGTGCAGATTCCACGTCAGGCAGGTCACCTAACTTCTCTGAGCCTCAGTTTTATCCTCCATTAGTGGGCCCATTCCCATCTCATACATTTGCATAGATTCAGAAAGCCTATCAAGGGCTTTACAGAGTGTACAGCCGGGCAAGCAAGCCACCAAGATGACCAAGTTCACACAACCAGGCAGATCTAGCAGGGCAGATACAGCCAGGGGACCCTGGGGCAAGCCTTCTCTGCGGGTCAGATCCAATCCTGACATTTCAAATCTGCCTCCCACAGCTAGACCTCGGAGTTGATGCTACTGTCTGGGAGAGACAGAGAGGCACTCCCAGAACCTGACCTGGACTTCCACGTGACCCCAAGGCAGTGGGTGGCCCTGCCACCAACTCTTTGATCCCAGGCTGCCCTAAGAAGGGAATCCCAGGGGCATCCCCACCAGCTGTCCTTGAACCGCCCGGCTCAGGGGTGGGGGCTGCTGAGCTTAGTTGAGCTGTTCAGGACTTGTGGGCTCAGGGCTTCAGCTGACTTCAGAGCCTCAAGGCCGCCATGTTGAAGGGCTGCGTGACAGGACTGGGCTGGTGGCCACTTGGCTCCACTCCCTTGTTTGTCTCACTCCTGGAGGACAGAGGCCATCCCTCTCCTTCTGTGAGGGCCTGGTGTCTGATGATCTCATCCAAGTCACTGGCTCCCGCCAGTGTCTTCGGCAGGTCGTACGCCTGTGCTGGGCCTCCCACTCCATCTCCGCCTGCATGCTGGGAGCTTCCACTTGGGGTCCCGTGGTCTCCCCACACTCACACAGCCCACCTCGGCCCACCTGCTCCTCTTACTCTATTCCGTGTCATACCATCAAAGAGACACCCAGCCGCCCCATCACCCGAGTCAGAAACTGAGATGGCATCCCAGGTTCTTCCTCTCTGCTCCTAAAATCTTTTCATCCTATTTCCATGACAGTCTCCCTCTTTCCCCTGAGACTACCGTAGCACAGTGGTCTCCAACATCTCCCCCTCCCTTTCTGATCCATCCCAACCCTGACCTTGGAGATCACTAAGAACCTCCCTGGCCAAACCCCCTGGTTCTTCCAGGCACACTGAACACAGGTCCACATGCCTCCCCCAAAGCCCCCTGAAGGGCAGGGCAGGAGCGAGGGCTGTCTCAGAAGAATGAAGGAGGCAGAAACCCAATCAGCTAAGAGGGGTCCCAGATGCTCCCATTCCATGTGGCCCCCAAACATCCCTCCAGCCTGCATGAGAGGAAGCTCTGAAGAACATGAGCAAAGCCCCCTCCCGGCACACCCCACAACCCAAAGGTAAGAATTTAAGGGATTCTTCTCTGGAGGACCTAATAGCATCAGAGAGAGACCAGCTGACTCAGATAAGCAAATGGAATGAATGCCCTTCCATATCTGTCTGAGCGCCTGCCCCACTGCGCATGCTCACCACACACACACACACACACACACACACACACACACCAGTGTATGTACAATTGGCAAGAAACCTGAATAAGTTTGATAGATTGTGTCAATGTCAGTTTCCCGATCATGTTAGATGCTACTGTGGGGAAATGGGGTGAAGGGTACACAGGATCTCACTATATTACTTCTTAGAACTGCTTATGAATGTATAATTACCCCCCAACAAAAAGAAAATAATAAAAAATAATTTACAAGAACTACCTACAGTATATGACACAGATTTTTGTCATAAAATTTTAGTAACAGGAGACAAAGAAGATTTTTAAAACTTTCAGGGAGAATCAAATCAAAGAATCAAGAATAACTTGTATTTTGGGGTTCTGGGGACAAACTCGGTGATGCACTACTGCTAAGCTACATCTTCAGTCCTTTTTATTTTCTATTTTAAGATAGGGTCTCGCTAAATTGCTGAAGCTGGCCTTGAACTTGCGATTCTTCTGCCTTAACCTCCCAAGTAGCCTGCGCCACCAAACCCAACAAGTATCAAGAATAAGATTGGCCA